GGAATGACTTTCCTGGTGGAGTAAGTCATTTTCAGGGCTAAGGCTAAGCGTGTAGTTACACAAAAAGACTCCGCAACAGCCAGGCAAGCTCAACCTACGAGGGTCTGGAAAGAAAAACCCTGTACTCTGAGCAGATTTTATTTCTTTTTATTTTACTTCCTTAGTTTGTGATAGTCCTTAGAATAATTTCATGGTGGTGACTGTCACAGTATTACATGCTTCCGCTTTAACACTTAGAGCCTTGGGAGGAGGCTACTCAGGGGTTCAAGGACTGGACCTCCGATTTGGGCTCAAGTATTATGAAGAGTTTGGGGGGGGGTAAGAGTAGTGAGAGAAAAAGGTTCAGGAGCCTCAAAACATCTAAATTAGCAGCGTATTAGTCACTCTGTAAAATCTCTTCCCTTCTAAGTCTCTGTGGAGAAGGAAGAATCTGCCCTTCAGCCTCTCTAGCTTGTCTCACAGCACACCCTCATCTCCTCGCACATAGCAGCCTCGTTACAGAGACACAGCCCGGGAACACGCATCACAGAGTTCGGGGCGCTTGGGCACATTAATCTCAGAGTGAGCGTGGCCAAGCATCTTCCAGGGATGCAGGCTGTATCTGCAGGCTCGTTCTCAAGCCAAACCAGAACAAGCCTGGCCTCCTCCGATTTCTCAGAAGCAGCAGGTGCAAGCGTGAAGGCCATCTCTGGGCAGGGAGCAGCTGGGAGAAATTCCCGAATCCTGTGTATGTTGCTATTTTCTGCCCAGTGTTCCCACACCATCTCATCTGTAGATTTGCTGGACTCCAGTAACTTCATTTTGCTGCTTCTCTTGCCATTTAGAAATGCAACCACCTGGACATTTGCCAGCATAAAAATTTGTCTGGGGCTGTCGGTCCTAGGAAGCCCACAGGTCTGCCCATGCTGCATTTATACTTCGGACGGGAATCTCATGATTTAACAATTTAGCCTTACCCATACTTCAAGGGGATAAATCTAGGACGAGAAAAGGATGACTGGATCTGACCTGCTCCATCTAATTACTATTCCACATAATTATTATTTTTTTCCACATAATTATTTTTTAAGTTTAAAAAGAGATCAAGGAAAAAATCTATTTCCAGTAGAGGCTATGCATTTATGATTCTTTGGCTTTTCTCCTCTTCCCATCTACATAGCCATCCAGCCATCCATGCATCCATGCATCCATCCATCTATCCATCCACCCTTCATCATCCATCCATCCATCCATTCATCATCTATCCATCCATCCATCCATCCATCCATCATCTATCCATCCATCCATCATCCATCTGTCCATCACTCATCCATCCATCATCTTTCCATCTATTATCCACCTACCAACAAACATTTATTAAATGCCAAGTAGGTACTAATCATAAGTCCCTTTAATCACACCAGTCATTTTAGTTCAGATATGAAATGTCTACATGTACATTCACATGCTTCTTAAGTATGGGCAAAGATCCCAAATACAAACTGAACACACTGTCCCTTTGTGAGTTGGCCTCTGGCCACCTGCTCCATGATATAGTAGAGGGAATCTGCTATTTGGAGTTAAATAATGTGAATTCAAATCTTGCTTCATGCTCTGCCATTTTATGTGACTTTGCCATTTAGTTGGGACAATTTCTGCTTAACTCTGTGAGATCATTTCTTCTTATGTAACGTAAGACTACATTTAATAAAATGACGTACATAAATATCCATATTGCACATAATTTGTGGTAAGTTGATAATAAGTGCTATTTTCCTGCTTCTTCTTCATCTGTTCAACATTCATTCAACAACCACTGCTGAGCGCCTACTGAGTGAGGTGTAAGGATACAGCAGGGAAGAGAACAAAGCTTCTGCTTCTGTGCATGGTACTCTCTATAGGGTGCCAGACAATATGCAACCCCTCAATACCTCAGTCAAGTGCTATAGAGAAAAAGAAAGTAGGAGGTGGAGACAATTAAAGTGTAGTTTATATAGATGCTGAGGAAGGTGACTTCTTTGATAAGGTGACATTTAAGCACAGACCGCAAGTGATTCTCAGCAATAAACAAAGAACATCTCCTTAGCAATCAGTGTGTAAAGAGAGCATGAATATTCTGTGAGTAAATGGCAGAATGACTATTTCCATGTGGGTGTTCCACAAGACTTAATTCCGTAAGCCTACTCTTCATTTTACCTGTTTTCTCTAAGAAGCTTCCACAGTTACCTTTCATGCTTGACATCTTATTAACACCTGAGTTAAACTCCAGGATGCTCAGATTTACCATCTCTTTTAGGGGAAAAGGGATTAATGTGACGTGACACAGTGACCGAGTGGGTGCTTTTCCTCTCATTCTGAAGGTGCTTTAGCCTCTGATCTAAGGCTACCTAGAAAAGCAGCCTCTGCTTTGACCACACAATGAATGCCACACAATGCCTCTGGACACCTCTCATAGGATTGCCACAGGCCCAGATCGCTTTCTTCTAAGAAGACTCAAGTAAAGGGTCACCATGTGTGCAGAGGGAACTCTGGGGGACCCCTGAGAAGCCTGGCTGGGTCCTGGAGCAGACCTCATTCTGGGGCCCTAAACCAATGAAACATTCCAGAATTGACCACATCAGAGGCAAGCCGGCAAGTCCATGTCATTCTGGAGAGCCACCACACCAGTGGTGAAATAGACACAAGATTCTGCTCATCGGGAAATCTCTCCAGCCACGAGACCGAATCTGAGGCCCAGCTGGCGACCTCCTTAACTCGGACTGCGCTGAGGAGAGGCTCTGTGCTGACGCGGGAGCTGCATGGTTCATCAAGTGCTCTGTGAACACACACATTAAAGGATCCAGGAAACCTTAAAAAATTGTGCCCTGGATGTCACCTCTGCCCTTCTTTCTTAAGGAGAGACACAGGTATCGCTATATTTTAAGAACTCCTTATGTGATTCTGACAGGCAGCCAGGGCTGAGAGCTACCACCAGTGACCAAGAACTGTGCAAAAGTTCAAGTGACAGGTGAAGCTAATAAGCACTTGATGAGCACTGGGAGACCTCAGGCACTCAGCTAAGCCCTCTCCATAGATTACTTTTTAAACAGGAACACTCTGAACACATTAACAATACCTGACACTTGTCCCGAATCTTATACTTTTATAAGAAGAGCTTATCTCATGCTTTCATCGAATTCTCCTAATTCACTGAGGTAGAAACTCACTTGACTTCATAGTTGAGAAACATAAACTGCACACCCATGACTTACCCAGAGTCAAATCATTAAGATGTACAGGAAAATGCACAGGAAAAGAATTCATGGGCGAAGAAATGCAAGTGGTAAATAATTTAATAAAAAAAATGTAATCTAGGCAGGAATCAAAGAATGTTCATTAAAACAACCATAAAAATCTGAAGTAGACAAATATTTTAAACACCCGCGTTCTTTCTCCCCGAATGACTTTCTCCCCAAATGACTTTCTCCCCACACCGGCCTCCCACTTGGATGGACACTGTGATCAAAGGTGCCTGGATGGATAGTGAGCCCAGGGGGGTCCCCTCATGATGTTGCTTGAGTCACCCAGAATTAGGCTTTGGGGGAAGTGTATGAGGGTGTGTATGTGTTTGACTAGGCTCGGGATCCTGCTTGCACTGGCATTCTTTGCAAGTTCTAGGCTAAGTGGACCGGCATGGCCATGGAGGCTAATGTCCCCTGCCTTCAACTAACTTTATCACAAAAACACCTCTCAGGGGAGCTGGCGATGCAGATGCTGGCGTGAGGGAGGATGTCATAGGCCAAGCAGCTATCGGCCTGGTTTTTTGCAACCTGTGACTTTCCCATGTAAATTGTACAAGGACCTATAACCACTCGGGCTTTCTCCTTGCTCGCAACATACAGATGGAACTGAACTTCCACATCTGGTTCCCAGGAGGAGCCGGAGGGGGAAAAAAAATAATAGCAATAGAGATATTTCTACAATACTTATCTTTCTGTCAACCAGGATCCCTCTGTGGTGGCCAAATCACCCCCAGGCAAGCCCTGAGAAGACAGGTGTTGTACAGTGATCTCAAGACACTTAGGTCATGAAGTGCTTTTTAAATCACTGAAGATATTTTAATGTGTCTGGAATGCTTTTCCTGCAGTTTAGGGTCCATTTTTAATTTTGGGGGGAGGATTCAAACTCACGAGGGCTTATTTGTTTCTAGAAGAATTAGCTGAAGCTGAGCTTCCGGGCAGTGCCGGCTAGTATTGCTGAGGCTTGCAACGAGTCCTGCCCACAGATTCGGGTCAGCTTGGCCCGGGCCTGGTGGCTGATGCCGGCCGGTGGTGCCTACTGCAGAATCCCTGGCACCGAGGACGCTCCTGGAGCAGAGGCGCCTGCACGGTCCAGAGTTGCTGCAGGGACAGTTCCCGGGCACCCCTGGAGGAGGGGAGCCCAGGCCCGTGCCAGGCGGACCAGCAGGCCCTGCCACGCAGATAAAATAAGAACTGACTTCAGCTTACATCAACTTGCTGAGAAAAAAAACTCCTGCTAATGGAAGTGCAGCTAAGGTCTTCCCAGATCCGCCCGTGACACTCTGCAACCTGGCACGGGAAAGTCAGGTCCCTGGCAGCTGCTGCCTTTGGGGCCGTGAAGGTCAAAAGAGACTCTTGTTTGTCCAGGATCAGGGGGACACTTGAGAGAGCAAAAGGGGGTGGGGGAGGGAGGGTTAGCACACGTAATGAGACCTGCAAAAAACCCCTGCATGCGCTTTTCAACAGCAGCTCTAGCACTTCTCTCAGGAAAATAGTGGCTGGGGCGACTGTCCTTGAAACATCAAGAGGACGCCGCGTGACAGACAGGGAACCCGACCTGTGCATTGCGACACATTCGCTTCTCCCGTGTCTGGCAGTGTAGACCCACCCGGCTGCCACACAGTCCGTCCCGCCAGAGTCCCCGGCTTGGTGCCGGAGGCTGAGTGCGGCCAGGTCATGCCGCCCTCCTCCCCCGCCCGGCGGCCCCTCCGGCGCCCTTCTGGCGCCCCCAGCCCTGCTCACCTCCAGCACAATCTCCTTCATCTGAAACTGCTTTTGTGCGACTTTGTCTGCAGACACGGGCTCGTGGTAGTACAGGCAAAGCAAGTCGTACTTCTTCGAGATCTGCTTGAAGTTCTTCTCCGTGAGACTGACCACCCGGTCTTTGCCGTCATAGCTGGGGAAGTTCAGCCCCTCCTCCGCCCCGCAGGAGGCCAGCAAGTAGATCCCCACGATGAACAAGTGGGCCCCCTTCATCTGGGAAGAGTTTGGTTCTCCTTTCCAGAAAGATCGTGGGCGGGAAGGAGGACCGCGGACCCCAGTGGACTTGCTGAGCCCAGTGGGGAGCAGGCTGGCTGGTTTTGTGTCTCCTCTGCCCTTGCCGGGGCCAAGAACCTGCTGCTCACCCCCGGCGCAGCTCACTGTAAGTGGGCTCAGGACAGAGGCTGCTCACACCCGGGTGTGCGTGGGGCCAGAGCCAGCGGGAGGCTGAGCCCCAGATACCTCGCATAGCTCCGCTCAGCCTTGTCTCATTAGGAAGTCCATTTTTAGGATGCAGTTGTTTTGGGCTAAAAATAAATCATGCAATGAATAAAAAAGTTAGATATGACGCTGTTGAGGGATTCGCTGAGGCAGTGGGTCAGGGTGGTGGAGAGGGAGGAGACGCAGGACGAGGGGCGAGGGTGTGCGTGTGAAGAGGAGGCCAGAAAGGTCACTGGAGAGAAATAGCCCCGAGGAGCAGAGAGAATGAGCGAGAGTCAGGAGTGGGGCTCGCCGAGAGGCGATGGGAAGACAGGGTTGCGTTACTCTGGCGTCCCCCCACCCCAGCAGCTGCCGGCCCCGGCCCCCTCCGGCCCACGTGGGAGCAGAGCAGGTGCAGGGTGGCCTTCACGTCCTGTACCTGCCGTCCACCGCCTCCTGTCCTCTCTTCTTGGAGCCCTGCCCAGCGCTTCTGCAGGCTGGGGGGAGGCGCCAGCCCCCACAGGCAGAGGCCAGAGGCGCCAGGCCCCCAGGCCGTGGCTTCTCCCCCACCACCCCCATTTCGAAATGAAGCAAAAGAAAAGCTCCAAGCAGCCCTCCCAGCCCCTTAGCTTGTGGCTCTCAGCCTGTGCAGCCACCAAGCCACCTTCTGTGTCCACGTGAACCTGTATCACATCTTCTCAGCTCCTTTCCTGTTCTTCAGAGGCAGGGGCCTAGCGGGCCCTGGGCCCACACATGAGAGTCAGACCCCCTCTGCCCTTCAGGGACTGAATGAGCTTGGGGGTTCACTCAGCCCCACCATTTTCAGTCTCTGTGTCAGATCCGTGTGGTCAGCACCGTGCTGGTTACAAGCCAGTTCAAACGCTGCCGGTGCGTCTCGCCCCATGCTCACTGGAGATGGTGAGATGCCGGTGACGCCCCATGCCAACCCCCCTCACCCCCCCAGTGATGCGCAATGGTCCTGGTGACCTGTCTCCTGTCTGCTTTCTCCTGAGCCAGCAGGCAAGTGGGGGTGGCGGGGTGGGGGCGCAGGAATTCTTGTACTTCTCACAGACGAGCTGAGCCTCAGCGAGGCGGGCAGGCAGGGTGGCCTGACCACCCTGGGCGGGGCTCAGCGGTGTCAGAGCTGGCCTGGGCCCTTTGCCTCCCAGACGCCCCTGGGCCCCGTCCCTTGGGTCAAACAGCATCCATCTGGTCTTTCCTCGCTCAGGGTGGTCTGAGGCCCTGATGACTCGGCCAGGTATTTTCTGCCTCCATGTGGAAGAATCAGCTTTGGAAGTAAGGAGGTTCCATGCTTGCAAGGGACAGAAGGAAAAGAGATGAGTGGGTGACCTGGGGGGGACCAGCCTGCCAGGCTGCAGCTAGAGGCCCCTGTCGAGAGCAGGCTGATGGCGAGCTGGCTCTGTTTTCTGTGCCTGAAGCCAGGCCCTTGGAGAACCCGAGGGCAACCGCACCTCCTTCAGTCGGTCCAAAGTGTCGCCTCAGCGCTGGTTAAAGATGGCGCCACGGCAGCCATTTCCCGCCCACTTAGCTTCCCAGGCTGCTGGCAGGCGTGCGGGAGTCCGGCTTTCAGTAGAAAACCAGGGGGCGGGGGCAGGCAAGATTTCTGAGTGAAATAACCTGCTATTTTTTGAGGTCAGCTCCCCAAACGACTCCTCGTTGTCTCAATCTCACCAAGCTACCTTTAGCAAGAATTTGCTCCATGTTTTAAATCCTAGATTACATGTTTGTTGCTACAAACTGGGGGGTTATTTCAAATCAGTCTGAATTTCCTGATTGCAACTGACAGAAGTACCAGGGGAAAGGGGTCGTTGTTAGAATATAGTTAAGCCCTTGAATCTGGCTTAGAAGCCACCAGCCTGGGAAGAGCCCGTGAGCTATGTTCGCCCCGCGCCCAGACTCTGAGGACTGCCGGCCCCTGCCATCCACTTTCCGACTCAGGTCTCCCACGTCCACCCTCTGGGAGGTGCACACCTGGCTGCTGCCCACTGAGATGGGCTTCTGCAGTCTCCTCTGTGCCAGCCTTTTCTCTGGCGGCCTGTGCTTTTCCCAGTTCCATTTTTCCTTTGTCTTACTGCTCACCAACTTTAATTTATTTTATAAACAGGAATTCTAGATAGCTCCAAGTCAACGTTGCCACTCACAAACCAGCCTTTGCATTTCATATTTAGCTGCTACTAAATCTGGTACTGGCGAAGAGGCCTCGAAGGGCGTGGCCCTGCAAGGCCCTGTGCCCTGTGGTAGTTTCCTTGGGCATGCTAAGGCGTGTGTCTTTAATGTGCCACGAGCTGGCATTTTTTGGCTTTGTTTATTTGAACAAGAAAAAATAAGACAAAAAAAGGAAGTATAAAGAAATGTCCATCATGGTCCCAATATATAAAGTAGGCCCCTAGGTTTTTGTAAATAATTTTCTAGTCCTTAACTCCATGTGGGCTGCGCCTAGAATTCCTTTCATCTAGTCAAATCCTTTCATTTATTTCTTCTTGACAGGTGGCTCAATGTCTTAACATACGTTTTACAAGTCGATCTCCACCATAATCCATTCTGCAGATGAATCAGTCATGGTCTTTCCTTTGTTGATGACTTTTTTTTAAAAAAAGATGTAATTTATGTATGCATACAGAACTGGGGTACAGGTCAGGGGTGCAGGTGCAATGAGAGGCTTCGCCAGAGACAGAGCGGGGAGCAGAATAGGCCGACTGACAAAGTACACTGCTGAGGGGAGCAGCGGGCGGGTCAGGAGGAGTCTGCGGCGCCCTGTGGGTCACCTGGGGGGGGGGCGGGGATCGAACTCATGCAGAAGTGGCTTTCGCTTCTTAGTGCTGCGATTTAACCCGCTGCGACACCAGGAAAAACCGTTGATGACATTTTTAAAGCATCTATGTGCCGGACTTTTTACTGAATCCCGGAGATAGTAAACCTGAGCTCGCAGAGCTTACATCGCCGAGGAGACAAACAATAACGCGTATGTGCGTGCGGGCACTCGTGCGGGCCACGCCCTTGCATAGGGCATCAAGTACAGGCAAGTGCTGAATAGCAACTGAGAAAGACAGAGAGAGTCAATGGCGGGAGCAGGGAGTGGCCTTTCAGGGCCGGTGTGGAGGAAAGCAACTTTGAGGAGGGCGCACGGGAGCAGAGGGGAGGTGGAGATGAGTCTGAGAGCTGCGAGCTAAGCAGGTGAATCCAGGAGGCGAGACTTGGCGGCAGGCAATGCCGGGATGCCACCGCTAGAGGGCGCCGTGCCTGCCTCGTCCTCCTAGGTGGGCGCCAGTTGTCTAAGACTTTTTTTTTTAAGATTTATTTAGTTTTGCATACAGAACTGGGGTACAGGCCAGAGGCTCAGGGGCGGCGAGAGGCTTCACCAGAGACAGAGTGGGGAGCAGAACAGGCAGACAGACGAAGTACACTGCTGAGGGGAGCAGCGGGCGGGTCAGGAGAGGTCTGCCAC